TTGCTTTTTCTAGTTTAGATTTCATTCATACTTAAGCGTGCGTTCTTTTTCCCATATAAATATAGGATTAAACTGTACGCTTTCGAGTTCAGTTTCTAGCAAACCAGTGACCTTATCAGTCAAGTTAGAGTTTGCACGTTGCTTTCTTCCCATCTGCCCTACCATATAAAAGACACTTATGTCTGCTTCTTAAACCTTAAGAATCACGGATACGGACACGCATGACACGGACATGACATGACACGGACACGGTGACACGTTATTTCCTAGAAAATTTGGGATGCGGATATGACAAAGACACGTTTGTTAAAAAATACAATTTTTAAGATGAAAATTCAAAGTCAATAAAATTATGCATTTTTATGCTTAAAAAAATGAATTTAATGTATGTTTGCTCTCAAAATTTATTGTTTTGYCCTATATTACTATTTATGTCTATTTCTTATGCTTAACAAGTGCGTGAAATGTACCTAACAAGTGTCCGGCCCATATTTATTTTGTACCACTAGTGTGTGACACACATGTATTGAGCTAACAAATGTCCGAAACATGAATCAGTGTCTTTGCTCAAATTGTAGTGTCTGTGCTTCTTAGCATCTTTAAACTGTCGATGATATAATCATTTCTATTGAAAATGAGGGAAAAAGTTCTTATCTGAGAAGAGGAATGAGGAAGAAGTGAATGAAACYAGATGCCAATTTCTTCAAGCAACTATTAGATCCCCATTTTCTTAGCTGCTGATATTTACTCGTTCATCCTCTAAAATCTTAACATTCTGCTTTTCCATCCTTGAAAGAATCTTAATTCTGAAGCCGATGCTCAAGCAAACTTGGCTATCACTCTTGCTGGTAATGCTTCTCTTAAATAATTTTAGTAACCGTAAACTTTACGAGTTACTAAGGTGATCTTTCCTATTGCAGATGGCGAAGTCCTGGAGTATGAAGAATAGTTAGAATGCACGGCAGAATATATCTTACACATTAGCACATTTTTCTGACGAATGCATATTTATACGCCAATCCGTTGTATGCTACTATTCCTTTCCCAAGGTTGTCGAGATCTTTGGGTGTTGACCGTAACTCGTCCAACTGGAATTCAAGTTGTGACCTTGCTGCAATGCAGAAGTGCAGTTTACTGCATATCTGAGATAAAAACTCTTCTGGTTGTTGTGTGATTCAATTTCAATTGAAAGATTATCACTGAAATGTTGTATTAATTTTGTTTACATATTGAAAAAATAGTAGTCTTTGAGCAGATATGCTTTGTATTCTTTGTGGAACCTGTGGAAGAAGCACAGTTCAATACCAATTTTGGGAAGGCTTTAGGAAAGTGAGTTCAAAGTTCATTTGAGGATGAGTTTTTAGGAAATGTGTAATAATGTTGTCGCATACTCATGAAATTTAATTCCTTTTATAGTTTGAGTATTAAATTTAAATTATTTGATACATTATTTAATTAAGGACAAATGGGTAAATTTACACTTGCATGTTGTAAATTGTAAAGTGGTATATGACAGGATCCTGTTCTTCCACTATGTGGTTTGTATCTTTCGAATGATTCAAGATTTCTGTAAAATAGTATTTTGCTCCCGTCGTTGTCAACCTTGATTTTGCAAACGAGGAAAGATGTTTTTTGGATTGGAACACTAAGGTGTAAAAATTTTGGTACACGTATACGCTTTTTGATTTTTTTACTTATGAGGTCTAGAGTAGGTGATGTCTATTKGATCTCTGAAGTTTAAAAAGAACCTTTTTTTATTTTGGAGTAGATGTCTATTTGGTCATTGAAATTTCAAAATAGATGCTCTTGGTCTTTGAAGTTTCGAAAATGATTCTAGTTCCTATCCTCTTTAGCGTAGGGACTAGAACGAAAGGAGGAGCTCTCCCAATCTCCAACGATTCTCTTCCTTCTCTCCAATGAGGGTGACTAGAACGACTTTTGACGAGGATGACGACAGTCGGTGGGCGAGGATAGAAACGACTGGCATAGTGGCAACGTTCGCTAGAGATGGGGAAGAGAAAGGAAAATAGAACTTACAAATATATTATTAAATTGATTATTTTGTAAAATCAACAAGTTAAACCACCGTGTTCATTTTCACATTAGTCAACTAACTGTCAAAGAAATTCCCATCGTAGTGGACCAAAAGTATTCATTTTGAGACTTCAAGGACAAAAAATAAACACCTATTCCATACTTCAACAACCAAGAGTGTTCATTTTAAAACTTCAAAATCGAATAGACACCTACTCRAGACTTCAAGGACGAAAAGTGTATTTTTTCCCTCTTTTTTTAGTACACCAYGTGGGAATATATGATTGAACCTCCAACCTTTAGAGAAAAGAGTAAAATACCTTAACTATTTAGATAATACTCATGTTGGTAATTTTTACCGCTCTTTGAGTCGAGATTAAAGCATTATCCCTTCAACTCTTAGGGATAACTACACAAGTAGTCCATTTAGAGCTTATATTTTCATTAGTGTCCATTCTTAACTAAAAAGTTCACAATGGTTTGAAGGCTCACCCGTTTGTAGTAGAAGGTCAATAAAAATTACACAATTTTCTATAGGTAGATATGTTATATTTTTCCAACTGTTGGAAGACACCATTGGAAGGACGCTGGAGGAGGCAGAGTGGGAGAAGAGAAAAATGGGGAAGTGTTTGAGAGGAAGTTTCTCTTAGTTGAAATCGGGGAGAAGTTTCTCTTAGTTGAGGGAATTGGCTACTAAATCGGCTGCTACTAGAGAATAACGGATTTCCATTGATGGATTTTCCAGAAAGTTCTAATTTTCTAAAAAAAATGTGCTACTAAATTAAAATTTTTTGCCATGGTAATCAAAAGTCGTTTGAAAAACAAATTGAAGCAACTGGTGGATTCTTCTGTCACTTGTGATTTCAGTGGGGCTTTGTTTAAGTACTATCAAATTTTGTTCAAGTACAACAAGAGAGTTCATTGGTTTGCAGCAACTGGTGGATTTTTCTGTAGATCATTCATATTTCTACTTGGGCAAGTCCTATTATTATGACMTTTTTCATTGCATAGTTTGCAGGTGTATGTTCTTCGAGGGGTTGAATCGTTGGCTTTCCCGTCAATATCGGGACAGTTTCGCCGATTGTGACCCTTTTTATTGCAGATTCTACAATGATACTGCCTCAATCTGCTATTTTCATTAGCCATCCTATCTCCATTGATCAATTTCATGTTATCCGACTTCAGGCAGTATCTCCATTCTTAATTATAATGAAAGCTGAACCTACGCAAATAGAAATTTGAATACAAAAATTGACCTTTCATTGCAACGCTTCACTTTCGACGATTCTCTGGATCGCTGAAGAATGCTTTCAAAGCTTCAGAAGTACGTTTTCTTGCTTCAGCACTTCCTTTGGCTTTCTGTGTTACAAAGAAAAGATCATACATTTGAAGGACTATAAGGATTAGGAGACTTGAAATTGTTTGACAACAAACATGCATTGAAAAAACACTGCAAAATGAAATTTAAGTTCTTTTAGCTAATGAACCAACCCCTGGTATTGAGGCATAATTCCCATAAAATAAAATTAAAAAAAAAAGGAGAGAAAGAATAAAATCAAGAACAACCAGAACAAAACCCAATTTCACTTGATTTAATGCTTGCAGTAACCTTTAAAGGAAAAGCATCTTATAAGAACAGGTTCAGTCTTCTTTTCCTTTTAGGAATATATTTGAAACATCTCAAATTTGTAAGAAAAAGTAATTTGGTAATTTTGAACCGTTATGTTTCATATCTGGCTACCAAATGACTCTCTGAAATTTTAAGAAAATCGTATAGATAAATTTAAATTAAAAATTAGTTTGCATGTCAAAACATGAAACCAGTGCTTTTGATTTCACTAACTTGCCATTTTTGATCAGAGTGATAATCAATTCAAATTGCACAGTTGGGACAAATTGGTAATTTGAGTGTCTTAATCATTCTGTATAATGAGGACTTGCATAAGCTTGTAAGCTCACTGCTCAGCTCTTTGCAGGTAGAATTTTCGTTCTTTTATTTTCGAGCTGAATAATAGGGCCAAGACAATTACCACACCACAACATACATGGCTCAACAAAACACCCATACCCCTAAACTTAAACTTTATATTGTCCTTGATGCAATAGGGGCTACTAGCCTGGGTTTTAATTAATACATCAATATCAAGGAGTGAAAAAGGATAATTCTTTAAGAAATTGAACTAGGATATTTGAGTGGCACTGGTTCTGAATATTTGAGTAGCAGTACGTCTGACAACTGCCCTTGTAGTAAATGGGCCGGATAGGGAATCTGTCTTTTCCATATATCCTCTTAAGATAGGAGCGATGCTCACTAACGCTGATGCTTGAACATCTCATCCATTCAGCTAATCTTGATAATTCATCCTTCTAATGAAATTCCTGTGCAGTAATTCACCATGGGCTGGGGTAGAATTCTACTTGATAAGATTTTAAACTACTCTATCTAACCAAATGAAATGACTAAGCTCAAAGGTAAAAGCAGAACTCAACATGAATTAAATGCAGTAAAAGGAAAATTAAAAGTAAAGTTAAGTTACAGGAGGTGAAAATGATTTTGCAAGAATGATACTCCCCTTTGTATTCAGCTTCAATTTTCTTCGAACCTCCTTTAGATGGTGAGATGATTGGCATCTCACCATCTCCCCCAGTTAGGCTTTAATTGCTAACCATTCATAGTGAGATAACTCCATATGAGATGATCGAGATCCTTTGTCACACTCACACCCTTACAAAGGATACAACACTCACACCCTTACAAAGGATACAACACTGCGATCCTATCATGAGGGGAGACTTTCTCCAAACCAGATCCTACGTATTGGCTATGTCATGTAGTACCTGTCACAAAAAATTTTACCTCCTTGGGAATTTTAACTTCCCATAGTGAGGAAAAGACGTGACTATTGGAGGAAGAGGGATCCACTAAACAATGGAAAAAATATCTACAAGAAAGCCCCTCTAAAGGATGGGGACCTTGACGAATATTTCTTCTCCTCGGACTACCAGAGAACTCCCCAAGCAAAGACAAGAGCCACTAAATCCTTTGCTTCCCTATTGGATACAAGACGGCAGAAACCCAAAGCAAGAGAGGTGAGTTCCAAAAAGAAGGTAAAATAAAGACTACTGATTGATTTCTCGTAGAAGAAAGAAGATATAAGAGAGGAAATGGTGCTCCCCTCATGACAAAAGCCACAAACTGCTCAAGGATGGCCAAGCCATGACAGAGGCCACCAACTGCTCAAGAGGGTGGCCTAGGGATGGGGAACTTAAAGATTAAAAATATCAGCCTCTTAGCCGAATGAGGATGTGAGACCTCCGGTGGTGAATAACTATAGTAGACGAGCAGAGTAGAAACTTCCTACCATGAGTATGGATGTTTGTAGGAGGGGCGGGGAGGGAGTGATATAAACCTGTGGGCATTCCCTTGTGAGGTAGGTTTCATTTTGTTGAATAGTTTGAGGCTATTGTAAGAGAGACTCCCAGCACTTTCGAATTGGATGGTTGCTTGTATGCCTTCGGGTGTAAGTTTGCTATCTAATACCATGAACTTATGAGGGGTTACCTTCCATATTGGTATCAGAGCATTCATCCGGGGGAAATTGAGCAAAATGGCACAAAAGAAATTGGAAGAGAGGTGCGAAGCAATGGAAACTAAGATAAGCAGTATGAAGAAATCGATGACAATCATTCGTGAGCAGCTAACGAACATGCAGAAACCACTGAGATGTTTATGGTTGAGATCATCGGCAGGAAAACACCCCAATCAGCATCTACCATTGGTGAGGGGTCTTCATTAAGGAAGAAGAAGATGGAGGACATTCCGCAAATCTTGGAAACACACGAAAAGGGAACAATAACAGTAAATTCAAAAAGATTGAGATGCCGATTTTTACAGGAGTCAACCCGAACTCGTGGTTTTTCAGAGTGGAGCACTACTTTGATATCCATAAGTTTACGGACTCGGAGAAGATGGTAGTGGCGGTGATCAGCTTCAGCGGAATTGCGCTAGCGTGGTATCGATGGACAGATAATTGATAGAAATTCATGAATTGGAACGATCTGAAGGCATGTACCAGAGATTTCATCCATTGAAAGAAGGTAAGCAGTGTCACGCCTTTTACCCATTAAACAGGAAAGTATCGTTGCGGAGTTTAGGGAATGGTTTGAAGCACTGGCGACACCCTTACGGCAGATTTTGGAGGAGGTGTTGAAGAGTGCACTCTAAACGGGCTGGACCTAGTTGTACGAGAAGAAGTGTTGGCTTCGAAACTTGAGGGATTGGACAAAATCATGCGAAAGGCACAATTGATTGAGGATATTAACCTAGAAGTCCTAGAATCAAGTGAATCGAACCAAGGTAAGAGTGAAAGCAAACCAGCAACAATGGCGACAAAGACCCTAAGGAAAACAATA